GGTACCTTGCCACTCCACCATATTTTGTAGGGGCATACTAACTTGAAAATGCTTAGTCAGACACCTTTTGTGAGCCGCTTTTGGTAAGGATGTCGAGATCACCTGATCAATTTGCTGCTGCAACGTGTATTGTTATTGGCAAAATACATTCTTAGAAAGTTTTCCAGACAAATGAAGAGGCCAGTAAGTTGTTTGATTTGAAAACTAGTTCATGATGCAATTCGGTTGCAAGACAATGCACGACAGTGCTATTGTGATTTAATAGTGCCAATTTCGGGTCCACTGACTCGCATTAATTTTGATGTAGCTATTGTAACTGCACGACTGTACTGCAATTAGATTCGGTAGGACTTATAGGGCAGAAGTTGTAAGAAGGCTGGAACACAGAAAATGCACACCATTGATTACAACTTCACACCAGCAGACGCCATGCGTATGATCGTGCAGACTACCGGAAAACGTGTCTTGACGACAAATCAGGCATTTGTCGTGGACAATTCACTGTTGCATTTGTTTCACGAACACTATCAGTGAAGACATAGTGAAAAAAGTAACATCTGCTAGACCAAATTCGCAACACTGCTTTTAAAGGTCCTACTTTCGTGTGCAAAAACTAAGCAGTGCCGTGGATAGGAGAATTAGTTTTTAATATAAAAAAATGACAATGTCTGTCCAAAGAAACGCCTTTATTAACAGAAAAGCACAGAGCAAATATAATACATATCCAACCAGTAATCCCAAAGTATCTTTTATTTTGCTCTAAGTCCACTCGCACTATCAGTAAGGCATATATTTCTAAACATCGCTGTTTCAAAGTCACTTTGGAAATCTTTCAACAATCTGTTGCATCAACTATAGTTTTTTTGTGATTAAATGGAACCTTAGAAAGGGCATCGTTGTAACATTTGGTTATAGCTCACTCCAAATGATGATAGCGCAGCTCGATCGAGTATCGAATCTATTAATTTTAACTTAACGGCACAAAGCTGCATCAAGCACCAGCAGACTTTGCACTTTCTCTGACAATTTGCCATTTGACATATTTGCAAAGAACCTTATAATGGAAAAATGTGTAAAATGAACATCAGCCTTTACTCATCTGGGTTTATTTATTTAAGTACACAACCTGCCATTAAAGGCAGTTTTCTGACGGCCGTTAAACTATAATTCCTACCGCTTCCTTTCCTTGACACTATGCATCTCTTTCCGATTTTGGCTTCTAACAAATCGGATAAAATATATTTTGTGCGTCTCCATTAATTCACATGTAGAGAACTTGCAATTAGCTTTCAAGAAAATGAGTAATCCTTGACCAAGTTGGGGTTTGAAGTGGTTCTAGGCTTATTGCGTTTTTATTAGATTAAAAAGATTTAATGAGATTTTGCTAATAGTGATGTAGTTACGATTAGCAATTTGTTTGCTAACATAGGTGTGAAGTGGCGACATTATTTTTCGCAACAAGAGGTGGTCTTATTGACTTTTGCTTTCCTTGTCTTATAAAACAAGGCATACTTTTATTTTCTGTTAACTGCTCACTTGGATTTATGAGCTCAACAAATTTACTTCAATTCCTATCGTGCACATAAAGAGGTGTCCAATGATTGTGATGCCATTTTGTGCGAATGATGACAGCGAAGTTTTATTTTTATAAAGTGCAGTTGAGTATGCATTGCGCTACTAAGTTCGAGCAATACAGGCCCAATGGTGTAGTAGCACTTAAGTAGATATTTGGCTGAGCGTACAACCAGAAGTACATAGCACTCTGCCACACTTCCTTCCTTGTCGGAAAATGGAATTCCTTGGTTTTTGAAAGCCTTTTGAAATTTGGAGAATCGGAATGCTGGCTTACAAGGAATAATTTCTGTTATGCTATGTTAACTGATATTTATGAGTGGATGTGTTTTCGATCGATAGAAGACACTTACGTGGCCTC